AGCCCAACATTGTATATATTTATACTATTAAGAAATAAGTAAAAACCATTTATTTCGACAATTGGCAAAAAGAAGAACTTATATATATAATATTATTTCTTAAAATCTGACAACACTTCGTTTGTTTCAGCGTGTAGCGCAAAGCTGGACAAAAAGTTATTTCCGCACAACCATTCCCGATTCTGAATTGATACACTAGAGCAGTGTTTCTCCAAACGTTTTTGATGGCGACACACTACGTACGTACCAAAAACAATTCGAAACCGCAGAGACGAGTATAAGCTGACACTCTCCACTTTACCTGCCACTACACAAGGCTTTGTTGGCGAGCATTTTTCGTGTCGCGTGCCCAAAAAAATATATAAAATATTATATAATTTTTGGCGTGCCACATCGGCGAGCAAAATCAGAAGTAATTTATATTATTGAATTTTATAACAGCTATAAATAAAATAGAAACTGAACAAAACATTTTGTGCAATTTCCAAAAAACACGGCTACACCACTCAGGGCACGACGCGGCACCCCAAGGTGTCGCGACACCCACTTTGGAAATCACCTATTACACTTTTCATTTATATTTGGACTTACGTTCTAACTTCCCTTGTAATTTTTGAATATCATAATCATTCTAGCACTAAATGCTTAAAATATTCGAGTTGTTGGAGATCATAACCATTGTAGCACTAAATGCTTCAAGTACTCGAGTTGTTGAAGATCATAACCATTCTAACACTAAATGCTTCAAATGCTCGAGTTGTTGAAGATCATAACAATTCTAGCACTAAATGCTTCAAATGCTCGAGTTGTTGGAGATCATAACAACTCTAGCACTAAATGCTTCAAATGCTCGAGTTGTTGGAGATCATAACCATTGTAGCACTAAATACTTCAAATGCTCGAGTTGTTGAAGATCATAACAATTCTAGCACTAAATGCTCGAGTTGTTGGAGATCATAACAATTCTAGCACTAAATGCTTCAAATGCTCGAGTTGTTGGAAATTATAACAATTCTAGCACTAAATGCTCGAGTTGTTGGATATCATAACAATTCTAACACTAAATGCTTCAAATACTCGAGTTGTTGGAGATCATAACAATTCTAACGCTAAATGCTTCAAATGCTTGAGTTGTTGAAGATCATAACCATTCTAGCACTAAATGCTTCAAATGCTCGAGTTGTTGAAGATCATAACCATTCTAGCACTAAATGCTTCAAATGCTCGAGTTTCCCAACTGTGTTCTTTCTTGTTAAAAACTAAGAGATGTGTCTTTCGATGGAAAATATATCAAATATTTTATGCAAGAACAAAAGTATATGATATTATTAGTTATCAAGGGAGATTTATTTCTTCGTTTGTACGCCAAGCTATCTTATATATCTTCCTACCAAGAATCAAGCCTGATAAAAAATTAAAAACTTCTCTCTGGAGAACTTATTGAATGTCGTGTATTAAAACGTTATGGTTGTTTGCGGTGGCTAAACTTTAGTTTTAAAAGAGAGGGTGACAGTTTCTGCAGCTTGGATACACATGAGGGTATTCTAGCGTTGAAAAAGTACGGGAACATATATCCCGCGAAAATTACACCTATGACAGATTTTCGTGAAGTTAAAAATTTACCACAAGGTTAATAATTTCTCAAGGACGCACGACATGCATGCAGTAAAAACAATAACAAACAAAAAAACAGGCCCTCTACACTAAACACAAGATATTCTCCACAAAATGATAGAAAAGTGAATAGTTAATAATTAATTTATTAATATGTTTTGTGTATTACAATATTCCGTATAAATAACTGACAAAAATAAGTGAAATCATTTCTTTTATATGTACAATACATAAGAGATTTCAGAGTAATTGATAGAATTAGTCGCAATAAGCAAGTTATTGCATTAATAGCTTAGAAAAATGAGCCAATGGGTTCTGTGACCGGTCAGTAATCCTATGATCAAACTTTTACCGGAAAAAAAGTAAAAATATATAGCAACTAAAACTGCCATTTAACAAGTAAAACATATACAAAAGCTAAAACTGCCATTTAACAAATAAAACATATACAAAAGCTAAAACTGCCATTTAACAAATAAAACATATACAACAGCTAAAACTGCCATTTAACAAATAAAACGTATGCAACAGCTAAAACTGCCATTTAACAAATAAACATAAGCAACAGCTAAAACTGTCATTGAACAAATAAAACGTATGCTAAAACAAAAATAAATGAAGCATATACAACAGCGGAACTAGCGCCTACAAGTACAAGTAAAACATATGCAACAGATAAAATCTACACTTGAAAA